TTTTCAAAAAGACAAAAAATGGAGGTGTGGCTGAAGACTTTTGCACGATAGTGCTTTTAGTAGCTTTTCACTGGAATTCAGATCAGCTTTGTGGTACAGTGCCATCTGTGAGACACCAGACAATCAGACTAATGAGGCTGGAAAACATGAAAGAGGCTGGAAGGTTGAGAAAAACTGTTCGCACAGATGAAACCAAGGTTAACTTTGCTGCTCTCAGTTTGTAGACCACAAAACTTGCCTTCTGTTTTACTAGGAAACACTGAAGCTACAGCCGATGTGGAAATCTGAAATACTGTTTTCACCAGCTAACATGTAGGTTTTTTCTGTGTGCAGAAAGTGGGCTTCTTTAACCAGCAGTATGCAGATCAGCTTAACATGGAGGAAACGGCCACAGAGTACTTGATGAGGAACTTCAATCTTCCCTACCAGGATGGCAGGAAGTGCCTGGGACGTTTTGGCCTCGAGAGCCACGCCCACACCATTCAGATCTCCAAACTCTCTGGTATAAACATAAACTGGTGAACGAGAATGTTTATTGTACTATCTTGTGAAGGAAATATTTTCTAACAGTGTCTGGATTTTGTCTTCATCAGGTGGTCAGAAAGCCAGAGTAGTGTTTGCTGAACTGGCCTGTCGTCAGCCTGACGTACTGATCTTGGTAAGCACTCTTCGGTCTTTTGCTCTTCCTCGTGATGAACACTTTCTACTGTCTTGTTGATTAATCGCTTCTCGTCTCACAGGACGAACCTACCAACAATTTGGACATTGAGTCAATCGATGCTTTATCAGAGGCCATCAATGAATACAAAGGAGGTGAGACTGGCTGCTTGGTCAGTTCAGTAGGGATGACTATTCTAACTGCTTAAGTGCTCACATAATTCACACATCTATTTCAAACGATTGAAGTAATGTGCTAGATGGAAAGCACTGCTGTGGAACAATTAAGAAATTCTTTATTTATCCCATATTTGGGAAATATTTTTATTTTAAATACTTTTAAATGACTCCATCCCTCTGTTTACTCCTGGCTTGGGCAGAACCTTTCGAAATGATATGGCTGTGCCTGCCTTTATTAGGACGGCCTCCTAGCAGACGCACCCGTCACTCACAGTTATGTGCCCACACTGTCACCGTGTGGACGTTCAGAATAATTATATACATGGAAGAGTAATTGCAACTGTTTCTTCACCAGCACCAAAGTCGTAAATGAAAAAGTAGGGACTTCTGCAGCATCGTGGAGTAGGCAGCTAGGGGTACATGTAGACGCGCTGTTAAAATATAATATTTGTACTCAAAAGAATGAGTGAGCTTTGGTTTTATCAATAAATCTTTAGACTCCAGTGTGTATCGGAGCATTAACATCTTGACTTTCTCGTCCAGCTGTGATTATCGTGAGTCACGATGCACGGCTCATCACAGAGACACAGTGCCAGCTCTGGGTGGTGGAGGACTGTACCATCAACCAGATTGATGGAGACTTTGATGACTACAAGCGGGAGGTGCTGGAAGCCTTGGGAGAGACTGTGGTCAGCAAGGCCAATCCCTGATCAGAGCTGATGCCAGGGCACACACCTGCTGAGCCCTCCAGTGTGTGTGAGCACACGTAATATGGATCTTCCTCTGGACTGTAACATCTTTATGGGGTTGAAGTTGCACAGATACTGGATTATAAATATGTAGGTGATAAAATGTCTTGAATTATAATCTGCTTAAATAAAACAGGAAGTGATTCAATTTTTCATTGTGGTTTATTGTACAGCTTTGTGCACCTGTAGAACAAACATCACAGGGGCTGAAAACAAACTCATTTTTGCAATAGGTTCTTTGTGACAGCATGATCAGCGCCTCGCTCACTTTAAGTAAGCTTTATATGTCTTTTTGACTTTAGCCACTTCATTCTCATCAGGAAGTATTTCCCCATACCATTTATACCAGTTGTCACCTAAAGTTAAGGATGAGGGTGGTGGTGTGGAGCCCACAGCATCATGGGAATTGGAGTAGTCCTCCCCTGAAAATTCCACATATGGAATCTGAAAAGGAAGCAAGCCTAGAAGAGAAGAGTGTTGTTTTAAAATGATGTCTTTGTTCTCTCATCAGTAGCTGTAACTTAAATGGTAAATGGTCTGTGTTTGTAAAGCGCTTTACACTATACACAATCATCCACACACTGGTGATGGCAGCTACATTGTTGCCACAGCCACCCTGGGGCGCACTGACAGACACTGGTGCAACGGGCCCTCTGACCACCACCAGTAGGCAACGGGTGAAGTGTCTTGCCCAAGGACACAACGACCGAGACTGTCGGAGCCGGGGCTCGAACCGGCAACCTTCCGATTACAAGACGAACTCCCAACTCTTGAGCCACGATCGCCCGCTTGACACGACTTACCACTCGTGTCATTTCATTTTATTTCTAACAGCAAATAAAACTACATTTGAGGTCATAGTTCTTAACTTGTAGCCTGAAACTATACTTTAAGACTGAGCCAGTTACCTAGCATGTAGCTAAGCTGGAAGTTAGACAAATTAAATGGGTTGCACAGAAGATGGTAGTTGTTGCACTAGAAAAGATTAGTGCAAGAAGGTGTGCTTATTTAAAAAGGTGCTATAAATGCACTATAAAGTGCTCTGGCGGAGATGAGTGGCAGCTAAGGCAATCACGATTCACCTACCGTGATCTTGTGCTGTGTCAACTGCCTCATTTAGCTTCTTCTGCTGTTTCATACACACACCTGAAGGCGGCAGAACCATCAGAACATGAGTGGAACATCCTGCTGCATTAATACACTTCCTAACATTGGTGGTATTAGAACTTACCAGTTCGAGTGGAATCCAACACCATTCCAGTGTGGGGACTAATGAATTGCTGCAACAACTTGACATTCTGCAAGAAAAATAAATTGCAGCTTACCAACAAATGATAGACTTTTTACACAGGAAGAGCTGGAGAGGACCATAGCAGAGTAACAGTGCAGCCACAGGACCAGTATCTACTCCTTTGTATGAGGAGGACCACTGCCCTACAAAATGACCTCCAGCAGGCTGCTGCTGTGCAGGGTTATGACCAAACTGTCATAAAGACGCTCTGATCATTCATTACTGACAGAAGTAGCTGACAAGATGTTCTCATTCTGCTTTGTTCTTTTCATTAGTGTCAAAAAAATGAAAGTTCTGATCTGCAGACAAATCAGACATGCGATTTTTTGCCAACCACGTGATGTATAAGAAAACTACAGCTGATATTGGCCTGTCGCTGAGACGCGCCAAGATAAAAACTTCACATCATAAGAACAATATTATTTATTTAAAAAAATTAAATCTGGCCCAAAAGCTCCGGCTCAATACAGAAAACGTCAATATTCTCCAAGTCCTTAGTTGGTGTGTGTGAGACCAACATAGTAACCCACCTGATGGTGAATGATGATGTTTGGATCACGACAAATTGGGCAGGGGTTTCCACATATCTTGTCACCTCTCTAGAGACAGAAGTGCCCTGGTTATTTTGACAATCTTAACATAAGTGATCTGTGGTTAAAAAACAACAAACAACTGAAATATTACAATGCAAGTCTTGCGAGTCTTCTGAGGGGGGATGCCTCCTTTGTGGTTCCTCCTGTAGTCAGCCCACACTGGACTGCTTCCATACCTTTCAATATACTCTGTCAGGGTAAGGAAAAGCAATGAGATCACAAAATGTGGACAGAAGGCAACACGTCTGTCGAGGTACCTACGGACACTTACCTTCACTCTCCAGGTAATCCCAGGGCCTGTCCTTGTAGCGGGCTAAAGCCTCAGTAGCCTGAGCAACAGCCTCGTCCTGAAGCGATGCTGCTTTGCAGTACGAGTGTCTGGGATGTATAAATGGAGACAAAGAAAGACATGTCCTTGCAGGTAGCCTCTGTAGACGGGACTGAAAGCACAAGAAAATGACCTCATCACACCATAAAACATCGAAACGTCCTTTTCATAAATGTAGCCTAAAGCCATTTGAGAACTTTGAAAAACTGTTTAGAGTCTAATTCTAAATAACTTGTATATCAACCCCAGTTCAATCAAATGAAGTGTCACTAAGCTGTAAACCCCTCCACCCCCACCCCCAGGCAGGAGCAGCGTGATATAGATCTATACTGGAGAACACACCAACTAAAGACCAGCTAAACCACCATCGTGATGAAAAACATATCAATTAGTGTTTTCATTTAATTATTATGCCTCACTTACAAACAGATATCTGATATCCGTAGGACCAATGTCTATGTGGTAGAGAAACCACAGCACTAACAAAAGCGGTACAACACAACAAGGCAGCATCCAGCGTTTTCCCCGCACTTAATATTCGACCATACATGTAATGTGTTAGTCAGCACGTCACATCGTTTTAATGAAATATAATACCTGATACTGACGAACTGAATACGAAATTAAAGGCGACACACGACATAAAAACGTCGCGATGTACTTCATGGAGGTAGCCATTTTCAGATCCTACCCGGGTTAGAGGTAAAAGGTGAAAGGTTAAGTTGCTTCTCAAGTATATAATCTAAATCTAAATCATTTCGGTAATAAATCAATCTTAGTTGATGCAAAACTCAATCCTGCCATTTTCATTTCAATTAGTTGAATAAAGACGATTATTTTAAAAATGAGGCGTTCCCGTTAGCACAAACATGTGACATTATAGCACGTGACAAACAAAAAGACTAGTCGCCATTTTGAAGGAATATTGTTTACTAAATTTAAATATCTAAGAATCAGTAAAACTGGGGTTTGTCGATAAAATATGTTGATGTAGTTTTGTCTGATTCGAATTATACAAAAATTTAACGCATTAATGGCGATTACGAGGAGTAATTCAAAATTAGATTTCCAACAATGTGAGATGCGCCATATTGCCCTTGATTGGCAAAGAACGACCGTTATCCTCCATTTTGTTTCAACGAAAACGTAAAAAAAACGTTTCCGGTGACGTTAAAAACGTCACGTAGTATAAAAGGTAAATCCCTCCTACACGCGCTTATTCCTGGATTTGGTCAAAGGTAAGTCAAGTCAGAAAAACAGAGGGGCTTATTTTCGACGCATTGTTCAGCTCTTAATGCGAAATTACTGCTGAGTGTATAAAACAAAACATTCAAGGACGTTGATGTTGATGATGGATGGGAATTTTGTAAACAAATGAAATTAAATGTGCGCTTTCTGTGTGTTTTTCAGGTATGAATTTGCTTTCCCGAAGACTGAGCCGTCGAGGACTTTGAACAACTCAAATTCATGTTTTTTCTTCAAGTAATGGACATTTGATTACTATTTTTGCCTCCAGTTTGTTCCTGAAGGAAAGGCTAGCATTTAGCTATCACAGCCCCACCCACAAGAAGTTTTTCAGTTGAAATTAAAACCATGAAGGTTGAAGACATAAAATTATTTAAATAGGATCTATAAGTGCCTTAAAAGCACACTATAATATTCCCGAGACGCTGAGGATCTATATTATCAATAGTAAGTTGATTTTGAAGTTGAATTGAAATTCCTCAAATGAAATTAGTCGTAGACAATAGGCTACCTAGCGGTAGCTGGCTAGCAGGCACCGTATGTTAGCTTGGTTCTTAGCAAATAATTTGAGCATAGACTTGTAGTATGAGCTCACACAGGAACGTGGACGGAAGCAAAATGCTCCGTTTCTTCGTGTGTGAGACGGAATTGAGTAATTATACAAATAAAGATATAACTGGAAAATTCGTAAAATAACCATAAGCAATCTGTTCATAAAGATTGCCGTAGGCACAGAAGGGAACTTTCCAGATCATGAAGCCGGACTTTTTGCCTGCCAGATTTTGTTTTGTAGGGGCTGATCCACGGAACGAACACCCACCGCAATCTATACATAAAGATTGCGTTAGTTTGAGGATTGTGGACATTTTGTGAAGCACTGTATGTGTGTGTGTGTGTATGCGTGTGTGTTTAAATGACGATAATTATAGCACAGGGAGTTCACGAAAAGCCTAAACCAGGTACTCGGCAATCTGAGGATAAAGATTGCAAGATGACCGGCGAACAAACAGGATTGACAAATATGGTGGACTAGTTGCGATTTGCTTTTTGTCCTCGGGACAGCTCCGAGGGCTAGCCGTGTTTTCCTCGGAACTACATTTGGAGTATTTGGCAAACGGCTGTGCAGATCAAGTATAGACTCATACGCCATCGCATTGTCTGACTTTGATACGCATATGGTGCTCGCTGTGTTATTCCATCAGTACTGTCTCCGCTGTGACAGCGATTGTTTGTGAAGGAGCTGGGTTGTCGCCGAAGTGGTTAACAGAGGGAGTGCTCTGATTAGCAGGCAGCCTCCTCCTCCCTCCCCTTCGTCAAGCAGCTGAGAGCAGGAGCAGGCCTGCCCTCTGCTGTGACAGATTTCAGGTTAAGAAGCAGCCTTTTATAGGCTGCTTCAGTTGCCCTTATATAACAGAGGGCGTTTTACACTGTTGCTCGATTTCTTCTGAGGCTTCTTGATTGAATATATTCAATTTGCCGTCTGTTGAGTAACCATGAACGATACAGTGACGATATATTTATTCCAAGCATAGAAAGCCATACATTTGTTTTACATAAGGTATTGGTGATGTGTAGTAACACCACAGTATGTCTATGCAAAACTGCTTCTCCTCCTGAACCAGCAACCAGGGTCATGTATAACCACTGATTGTGTGTATATGTGTAACAATTGTGACATTTACAGGATTTGAGTTATTTGCAGTGTTGTGGAGGTCTGAGACTATTTAAAACTTCTACTACAACAGTTACGCGGGTAAGACCTAACTGATTCCTCACATCATGACATTTCCATAAATTGGCAAAATGTTTCATTACGAAATGCATTGAAAGAAAATAAAGTGCATGCTTATTATAAAGGTCAGTTCGAGCAGTTATATTATGAATCATTTGAGGGTTATTCAGATTAACACAATAATAATCTAAAACACTGGAGCATTCATATGTGCTTGAGTGTTCACTGTTTGTGTTTGGCTCATATTGCACTTTTCAAAGATGAAAAGTAAGTAAACACCCAACACCTTTAAACTTTACAGTCACTTTAATTTGTGACAGCTTCATGTGATGTTTAACAGGTGTTTCCATTTAAAATGTGTTGTTACTACAGAGAGTGCAGTGCCAATGTGCAAAAACTAACCTATAGGTGGCAGTAAGTGGCTAGACTTGTGCCTCCTGGCTGGGATAACTGTCAGTTATCTCATTAAAACAGAATAATCCAGCACAGAGAAACTGACACTATGATCACATGACCACAGGTGAAGATTAACAAACTAATGTCACAGTTTCCAAGCATTTCATTCTTCATACAGTTCTTTTTAATCATATTTTATTTTTTCATTGAATATAATCTTTGTACCATTCACCTTTTCATTAGATGTCATAATTAATTAATGACAGTAGATTTTGTTTGTATAAAGTATTTGTTTGTTTTCTCTTTTTCTTACAAAGTTATATTTTTTGCACAAATGAATATGACTGTGATAGATGTATGTTATTAAAAACAAACACTGATAAGTCATATTCAGCATTACTTAAAAGTATTCTCTTTGGATATTTTGAACTATTTTATATAGCTGTGATACATAAGTGGAAATGTATGATGAAATAAGCATATGAAATCCAAGGTAAATAGATTTTCAATATTCTTTTTTTATTTTAATAGTGAAATATTGAAATAAATAAAAACGATTAATGGCAGGTGTGAAGCTTTGTACATGAACTTTATAAATGTGCATAGTTGTCTGCGTTGCTCCTGCTTCTTTAATTGTAGCTTGAAATGGAATAAACAGGGTTTCCTCGCACACAAAATGAAAGTATTATGGCAATGTGCTGTCCTGCAAGTGAAAGTCCCAGAGAGCAGACCCCCTGTGGTACTGAAGAGCAAGTAGCAGTGACCCGGCCTGGTCACTACTTTACTGCAGTTGGTACTCCAAACACCTCAAGTACAAGACAGCACAGCACATATAACCTTTATGGCTATATGGCTGCAAGAAAATGCTACTGACTGTCTGTACTTGGTGATTTGTGTTTCAGATTGTGTTTCTACACACACACACACACGCATATACACACACATTTAAATGATTTCTTAGATAGTTGGTCATAGAGGCCTCCTTTGGTGCAGTACAGTGGATATAATAGGGCCTTGTTGGCGTATGGTGGCACGTGTGTTCTTGGTGGAATGTCCTTGAACAGGTTGGTGCTGTCATCCTCTGAGCTGCTGTAGGACCGGTTTCAAAGTGGAATCTGAACGTGTTAGTGGTTGTTGGCTGACTCTGCTGTAACTTTGTTGTTCTGACACATTTTAAGGGATCTGATTAATACAGTTGTCAATGTGTGTCCCTGAGAAGCGCGTGTGTGTGGGGTGGGTGGTTGTAGTCTTAGTCAAAAGTCTAAAAGACAGTCTGGTTGGAATTCTGTTGGACGGTGCCCTGTTTTTCTATCTGGCAGACAAATAGCCCACACTTGATGTGATACTTATTACAACAGACAAAACATCTCCATATAACACAAATGTAATACAGCTGTGTGATGTAGATGAGTGTATTTAATATAGTATTGTGTTTTAGGGTATGGCAGGGCGACCAGTAGACCCAAGAGAGATTTTGAAAGGTGTGGAGGCTCTGCTGGGCAAGGATGGAGAGCTCCGCAGTCTGGAAGGAGTCCCAAAAGTGTTTAGGTAAAGAACTGAATTGAAATGTGAATATGCACTCACTGTGAACAACACCTTTAGTTCAGGACTTTAACTCAATGATTTCTAAACACCTTTTCCCAATGCAGCCTGATGAAAGCTTCAACTAAGATGGTCAGTAGATGTATGTACCTGAACATCCTGCTGCAGACGAAATCCCACGATGTTCTTAACAGGTATGCTGGAAATCACATCCTGTGGTCACGTTTCTATTCTGTTACTCTCATTCACCGGACTTGATAAAAGCATGACAGCTGTTAACTTTCAGTTCAAGTCACACTTTTTTTTTTGACTTCTTATATTTTTCATCCAAACACATCCAAGCACCCTGCCCCGAGGCGCCACCACGCTGTCAATGTTTGCATATGTACTGTGTCAGCATACACATCCCTGTTTGTAGCATGAATAGAGCTGTGTGAAGTTGTTTTAGTACTTTCTGGAGTGTAGGTTTAAAATTGGGGTGGGAGGTTTATAGAACAATTGTGTGTTTGTGTAATTTACCCAACTGTTGTTTTAAATTATTTGTCCCAGTAAAATAGTGTTGGGACAAAACCTGCTGGTTATTCAATTTCTGTCTATCCTTGCATGCCTTCTCTATAATTTGTTGTTCGCTCTTTCACTTAGGTTTATCAGAGTTGGTGGCTACAAGCTGCTTAATGCCTGGCTCACCTACTCCAAAACCACCAACAACTCTCCTCTACTTCAACTTATCCTGCTAACACTGCAGAAGTTGCCCCTTAAAGTCGATCACCTAAAACAGGTATTTTTTTTATTGTTGTGTTTATAGTTGCAATCTATAGAGAAACAATAACATCTAACCTGCTTTTAATCTGTCCCAGAACAATACTGCCAAGTTGGTGAAGCAGCTGAGCAAGAGTGCGGAGACTGAGGGTGAGTTAGTTTTACATTAGAAATGAAACCTCTTAAATATAGGCAGCAGTGTATTTTCAATTTATTGTGTTGTCTTTTGTTTGTAGAATTGAGGAAATTGGCTGCTGTGCTTGTGGATGGCTGGATGGCTACAATCCGCTCCCAAAGTGTCTCAGGCAGTACCACCTCTCCTGCAGGTACAGATCTACTTTTCTTTTTAGCATCAAAGTATCCTGTAGGCATCAGATTTAAAGACTTTCTATATGTCTTTTATAGATAAGAAAAAGAAGAAAGAGGAGACTAAGGTGCCTGTGCGTGACTTGAAGGAAAAAGGTGGAGATGAGGAGAAGAAGGACAAACCCAAAGCTCATGCACCCAGCCACACTAAGATTCGCTCCATAGGTAAAGGTGGAGAGCTGTTTGGCTCTTTCTCCAATAGTGTGTCTTGTCTGTCTCTTCGTCTTTCTTTGCCTCCCTCTGCTTTTGTCGTTTCCCTCACCAACTTTGCCCCTCCTTGAGCCTGGCTCGCCTAAGGGAAACTTCCTGTTAAAAGGGAGTTTATTCTTACCACCGTTGCCAAATGATTGCTCATAAATGTCTGTGTTATTGTTGGGGTTCTTTCTAAAACTGGGTTTCCTTACAATATAAAGCACCTTAAGGGGACTGTTGTTCTGAAGTTGTAGTAAATAAATAAAATGGAATTGTTTAAGTTCTTTGTGAGCATCAGTGTTTTATGTTACTTAGGACTGGAAATCGGAGACCCTCCCAACCCAGCCCCTCCTAAGAAGACGCCAGCTGCCCCACAGCTGGGTAGCAAGTACAACATCAAGCCTCCAGTCCTCAAACGACACAGGTATTGCACCTCCACAACAGCCTGTTCTGTGAGCAAAGCATCATAGTCTTGTAGCTTTCTCACTGGTGCCCTCAGGTGGTACTAACACTGCAGTACTGACATTTTTCTTCTTGTGTTCATTTTTTTCATCTACAGCTCTGGCTCAGGAGATGCTCCACCTCAGGAGAAAAAGTATAAACCTCTAAATACACCCTCCAATTCCGCCAAGGAGATCAAAGTCAAAATCATTCCCGCACAACGTGAGTTCACATATACCCACTGAAGAACCTTTGCTCTTAAATACAAGGACATGATGGTGACGTATCAGTAATCTTGTTTTCTTTTCTTCCTGCAGCAATGGAGTGCACTGGCTTCCTAGATGCTCTGAACTCTGCCCCAGTTCCCGGGATCAAGATCAAGAAAAAGAAACCCAGTGCTAACGCTACAGCTAGTACCAAGGTGGTCTCCCCCACAACTAACAAGGTAGTGATGGATCTCAGGACAGTCTGACCTCAGATTTTATTCAAGATTTTGTTTCCTTGTTGTTGTTGTTCTTAATTAATTTAGTAATTTTGTCATTTTTAAAATTATTGTTGTGTTTTATGTAAATGTCCCCAGAATTAGTCTGTTTTTGCTTGACAGAAAATTATAGACATTGTTTTGCTGTATTTCTGTTAATTTGTATAGAATTCTTTAGTCTGTTGTTGTGTGAGACACAGAAACTGCACAGAATCGTTGGTTTTTCTCACCAGATACTCACCACTGTTGCCTTGTCTCCTTTAGGCAAGCCCATTCGACAGCAAACCTGTATATTCTGCATCTTCTACAAAACCAGCATCTCCAGAAAGTGCTGCTTCCAGCACTCCTGCAGATGAAAACCAGGAACCTGAGCAGCCTGGGACCCCTGTTCCCTCTGAGGACCCAGAGCCCTCTGACAATGGTTAGTTCTTGAAGATGATGATGAGGATTTGTAATGAGCACATGTTGCCTCCAGGGTGTTTTCTTATTTTGTTGGAAACGAGCATAAAATGTTTTCCTTGTTGGGTCTTGTTTACAGGCGAGAAACCAAATGCACTGGCAGAGCCACGTGGAGAAGAAGAAAGCTTGACCAAGAAAGGCAAGAAGAAGAAGACGGTTCACTGGGCTGAAGAGGAGCAGCTCAAACACTATTTTTACTTTGATCTGGACGAGACAGAAAGAGGTAAAGCTGGAGGGTTCAAATACCAAAGTGTTTGAGTTGACTTTTTACAGTTGGTCTGTAAATCATCAAAAAACAACAACTATTAATGCTATTATACTTAATTCACAGTCAATGTCAACAAAATTAAGGACTTCGGTGAGGCAGCAAAACGAGAGCTAATGATGGACCGGCAGACATTTGAAATGGCTCGTCGGCTTTCCCATGATACCATGGAAGAAAGAGTCCCCTGGACACCCCCAAGACCCCTGACGCTGGCTGGCAGTCTTGTTACTTCAGGTGCAAACAGCACAGAGAAACTCACCCAAAGAGACCGTGAAATGGGCATCCTGCAAGAGATCTTTCTCAGCAAAGAGAGGTAGGGCATATGTATCCGTGGTGGTTAGTAAGTGCATTTTTCCAGGATCAAGCTGTGCACTACAAAATGTAGAAGAAGACATTTCAACAGTATGTGTGCTGCTATGCCCTCAGTTGTGTGCCTGAGATTACAATTTCAAGCATCATTTACATACATTTCTTCATATTAGTAGCTTTGGTCTTGCTTGGTATGGGCATCCGCCATTGTTGTGGTCTGAGAGAAAATGAGGAAAAGCCACTTTAGGTCACTCTAAGAAACGAGTCTTACCATGTTCATACCAAAAAGTTAAATTGTCCTGTTATTAAAACCAGAATTTGGTGTTTACAGTTTTCTTTCCTTTCTCATCATCAGTGTGCCTGACAGTCCACACGAACCAGATCCAGAGCCGTATGAACCCATGCCCCCCCGTCTCATCCCACTCGATGAGGTTGGCTCACTAAACACACACTCTCTACAATTCTATTTCTTGTCATTTACATATTCTACATGTGTACTACCAGCCTACTAAGCTCTCAGTCTGATTTCCAATCCAGGACTCGTCAATGCAGGATGACGGCTACGTAGAACCTATGGACACGATGTCACAACCAGGCTCTGGCGAGAGCGCCAAGCTGCCGCCTGTCTTGGCCAATCTCATTGGTAACCTGAACAACAGTTCCCGCAGCCCACCAGCCTCCAACATTGTCAGCAGCACTGTGCCTCCCTCTGTCAATATACAGGAGCTGCTGACATCCATAATGGTAAATACAGGACAATCATCACAAAGTAGCATCTTTTCTAATTATGGAAGTTTTTGTAAAATATCTCTGCACTTGGTTTAAGTTTTCTTTCTGTTGTTACTGGCCAGTGTAACTAATGACAACTGTCTATCATCAGGGGCCCTCTGGTAACCAGTCTACTGAAGAGTTGATAAAGCAACCAGACTTCTCAGATAAAATTAAACAGCTGCTGGGCTCCCTCCAGCAGACTCAGAATCAGAACCAGAACCAGAGTGGACCTCCACCAGGTGAATTAACTGAGTTCATTTTCATCTTTAACTGTTAAATTAAATTGTTATATTAAATATGTTACCGTAGGGTCGTGTCCGTGTGTTTCTTACTTCTTCTTTTTCTTCCTCTGCAGTCAACCAGGGTCTGCTGGGACATGGTCCAGGCATGAACAGCATGAACACCATGCACATGCAGATGCCCATGAATGGTGGCTACCCGCCCAACAGTTCACCCGGTGGTCCTCGGTTTAACCACCCCCCGCCCCCTCACAACCACGGACCACCTTTCAGTGGCGGTGGAGGCCCACGCATGATGGGACCACCGCCAGGTCAGGGGAGAGGAGACGGCAACTACTGGGGAGATGACTCGATGAGAGGAGGGCCCCACAGAGGGGGGCACTTTCACAGAGGAGGCCGTGGTCGGGGAGGAGGAGACCCAGGATTTAGAGGCAGAGGGCGAGGAGGTCCCAGAGGAGGAGGACACAACAATATGAATGGTACCTTATTTTCAAGTCTTATTTTAAATGTGTTTGCAAAGTTTGCAGACTGTGCAGAAGCATTTAGAGTATGTTTCACTCAAATGTACTGAATACAAGTGTCATATAATAGTAACCAATTTGCTGCTCTCACCTTCTTTGTTTCACATACTTCACCCTTAAATCTATAATGCTGTTTTCTCCTGGCAGACATGTCCAAGAGGCCTGTTTGTCGTCACTTCATGATGAAAGGAAGCTGCAGGTATGAGGGCAGCTGTGCTTTCTACCACCCTGGTGTTAATGGACCACCACTGCCCCCCAAATACCCCGCTAACAACCAACATAATCAGCACCCACAGCATGGCCACTAGGTGATGTTGCCATCAGCCCGGGAATAACTGAAAGACACTAGAGTAGCCGTTAACGGCGATCCAATTAATGCAGACGTCTGTCTTTAGACAATTATGGAAAGACCAGGATGATCTGTCCTGAACAGTAAGCTTGCTGCTGGTAACTGAAGAGTCTGTGACAGAACAAGAAGAGAGAAGACAAGAGATTGTAAATGAATGACTGGAAGGCTGTGAGATGATCACTGATGTGACTTTGTTTTTATCGTGTTCATTTTTAACAGTGAGATTGGGCTACCATGTGTCCCCACTACATCTGAATTGCTGCAGCTTGGCGCCTGTCTGCTTTGTCACTTTCCAAATCATTAACAGAGTTGGCCAAATGAAAACGTCCAACTCAGCACACCACTTCGTTTCCTCCTTATAGTGTTGCTCTCTAGTTTTGTTGCACCATCAGTAAGATTTGTACAGAAGAATTGGAAATGTTTTCCCTTCCTGCATGAGACAAAACTTTAGAAAAACCAGCTGAACTTCATCTATGATTTTTGAAAACTGGGCCTGTAAAGAAACATAACACTTAAACCGCCTGAGTTTGCCTACCCCTGAGAAAACTGCTGCTATGAACTCTGCTGATCTGAGTAGATCCTTTGCTTTGCTTTTGCTTTTCTCCAACAGCAGTGTGTCATATGTAAGCGCGTGGTGGGGCAATCACAACATGCTATGCTATTGTCAGAAGAGCCGCTGCCTGTCACCTCTGTACTCGTCTAAATCCAGGAGGGGTTTGTGTCGTCAGTGTTAAAGATGGGAACGATGAGTCCCTCTGTGGGTCGCCTATATTATGTGTTTTCTGTGAAAACAGTCATTTGTGTCTCTTGTGGGACTGTAAGAGGTTTTTTTGTTTGTTTTTGTTTTTTAACTTTTCACCCTCTACATTTTTTTTATATAAATTTGACCGTGTGCTCCATGATTTTTTTTTTTGGGTTTGGTGGCAATTTTTTTTTTCCGTGAAGGTATGAACTGTATGAATAAATTCATACACATTCATTTTCAGTTGAATTCTTTTGTACACAGTGTATTAAATAAATGTTTAAATACTGAGCAAGTGTTGCTGTGTTTTCCCTTGAAGTGTGACTGATGTGAGCAACAAGCAGTTTGAGTGAAATGTGCGTCTGTACTGCACAGAATGATGAACAACACCTTGGGAATATTTGTCAGTTCAGGTGTTTCATTTTAAATCAGGAAAACACATCCTGTTCAGGCAGGTCTATCCTCTGTGCGTGTGGAGACAGCTGACGTCAGATCCGTGTTATCAGGGCAGGGCTGAGTGCATCTGGTGAGTGAAGTGTTACGAGGAGTGGCCTTTAACCCTGCCCTTTAGTGCAAATATTGACCGTGGTGTATAGACCACACAAAGATAGAAACTCAGGAGTGAAAGGCAATAGAGGGAGCTGAAGTAAGGACACCTCATCACTAAGCTGCTTCCACATCCTGTTGCAAGAAACACAGAAACATTTATTTAGTGCTGTGTCGAGGAACAGAAGATTTCAACAGGAAATTGCAGTCAGGGTAAAAGCAAAGAAGAACACTAAATGAATGACGACCTCTCATGCAAGTGGAGTGTCACATAAAACAAAGCTGCAAAGCAGTAAAGGTGAATCAAAAGCTGAGTGACACTAAATCATAAGAGCGATGCTTTTGAGGACAGCTTTAGCTGATAATCCTAGAAAACATGTTTGAGACAAAACGCAGGGAAACGAGGTCACAGTTCTCAGAAATGTACAACTTATAAATGAGTATGTGGCAGCTATCATAATTAAAGACAGTTGGTGAATTTGGATTTGCATTAGTGTTTATTTTCTAAACACTAATGCAATGTTGCCCTTTCTGAAGTATCTACAGATCTGTATGTTGGGTCTATATTTGGAAATGTGGTCTGTGGGCTCTACTTCCCTTCTTTCACTAAACTCACTTCCATGTATACTTTAATCAAGCCCTCTTTTTGTGTTATGTGACCAGGGTGGCCGTGGCTACAATGTAGCTGCCATCACCAGTGTGTGAATGTGTGGATGACTGGATGTGTAAAGGCCATTTACCCTGCTTACCTGTGCCTGAGGTCCTTGACCTGTTTTTAACTTGCCACCAACCTCACCCAGCTCCAACTCTACTCTGCCTCCAGCATCCTCACTTTTCTCACCCTTTCAACAACTGGTTCTCTTCACCACCCTGTGCAGAGCCCATGTGGCTTAGTTCAGGCCATCTGCCTTGTCAAAGCACTTTCTACACCATGTGTCATTTACAGATTTTCTTTTCTGTGCTTTCTGTCTAACCTTCATACTCTGATGGATGCACCAGAGAACAACTTGGGGTTAGTATCATGCCTGTATTTGGCATGCAGACTGGAGCAGCCAGGGATCAAGCCGCCAACCTTCTGATCAGTAGATGATCTGAACTACCACCAGAGGCTGAGAACATAAGCTTGTTTGCTTCTGGATTGGGTGTCACAGGTCACATCAGTGAAGCCAAAGCATAGCTGAAGTTGATATTCCTTTTGTAATTTCATCCCTGTTTTGCAATATTACTTTCCCATCACTACATACAACTCCAACAGTTTACGCTGTACTTACTTTGCAGCCACAGCAAGATTATTATGAACCAACCAATGGATTATTCATTTAACTGCATGCCTTAACATTGTATGATTTAGCTGATCATTGCTATGATAATATACAAAGCGCAAGATAATCTCTCCCCAAAATGTATTCAGAGGTTGTTTGAAATTCAATAGACATAAGAAAAGGTGAGTTCAAAAAGAAGGGGTCAGATATTTAAAAAAGAGGGAATCTTCTAAACGAGGGAAACATCTGGAATAGTGACGACAATGTATGTAAAAGTTAAAAAATGATTGTCAATTTTTGAGGCAAATCAATACAAAATGGAGGTATTTTCGCATATATTTCAGTTCTTCTCTCTATTTAATATTTATTCTTAATTAACAATTTTCTTTGGTCTTTGTTTTAGTGCAATCTCGTTAGATTGTTATTGTATGTTCAAAGGATAGTCGTTTGGACCTTTTCAGTCACTGATATGTGTTTTATCCCCTTTTAATTCAGTTCTTTGTTTTTCTTGTTGTCATTTTCAAAAACAAAATAAACAAAAAACAAGAAAATGTTAAAAATGACCAAAAGGAAAAAAAAACAAACTGTAGAAGACGTGGACAGAGAAATCAAATGGATAAAACCAGAACAAAGGTTTGAGTAGCCACCAAGGCCTTAAAATATCTGGCGTTTAATATGTGGAAGGAATTTATATGTCTTCAGTATTTGTGTTGGGATCTAAGATGTGGAATTCTAACATTGTAGGTTATTTAACCTACAATATAAAAGCCCCATGAGGTGACTGCTGTCAGTACTATATTAATAAAAATGAATTGAATTTTATGAACTGAATATGTGGAATGTATTCTGTGGAAATAGGCCCTGTTCACTTCTGGCATTACATCTGTCTTTGGTGAGTTGATGCAACTGGAAAGCTCTAAACTAGCATCCATTTCAATACAACAGATATGATGATATGTTCATGGTTTAAATGGGAAACTGAGGATCTGGAGTTTTTAGAAGATACTATGGCAAAAAGGCCATGATGATGATTATGAGGTTCAACTGGTCACTGGTCTTTCTCACATTGCTGGTTCAGGTCATGGACCTGAGGCACAGGGAAACAAGGAGTTACGGAAAAAGGTCGAATAACACGAAGACCCTCAGAGTGGCCAGAATGAGCCATTGTGTTAGTTCAATGGGTGAACTGGACAATGGAACTGGAGAGCTAAGCTGAGACAGATGCTGCAGGTCACAGTTAGCTGATGAGTCTCAGGTGAACGGGTGAGTTGGCTGAAGGAGCAGAAAAGGAGCACCACACCCAGACAGAAGAACACACACAACAAATACTGACACAAAGTGCACCAGCAACAAGAGACACCAGGGAAAACAGGGAAAACGTCAATTTCCTCTTCTTAATCACACCAAAAGTTGATGTACGTTACTAATAAAATCTGTTTGGTCAGTTCCTGCGTCATCTGTTGTTTTACCCCATTACAAAACAAATAAATAACTAAGTGTGTACGTGTACATGTTATCGTGCAATGATTACAATTGTCAGTGCAGCGGGTCAGGGGGTCCTGATTGAATAAAGAGCACATCCTGGTAGAGGAGGATCTTCACAAACCTGGAAACCCGTGAACTGTGTCTATTAATGACTTATGAATGTCATTAGCTTAGATAGAAACCGTTTGTTTTCAGCTACACAAAAGCTGCTTGGATAAAAAGTTCCTGTGAGTGGAAAAGTTTTAGTATTCAGTATTTTGACAAAAAACCAAATATGTCTGTTACTGGAATATACAAATGCAAATTCAAATGTTCTCATATTATCTCATATCATATTATGATATGTTAGTGCCCATAAAGAAAAATGTTGCTCAACTCAAATGATTGTATTACTCTACTTCCTGGAACTGAGCAGAGGAGAGCAAGTGTGTGTGGACTGTTAGAAACTGCAGGCAGATCTGTGGTGAAAGGGCTGATTCAATCAGAGAGGTAGAATGGCTGGAGCCTGAACAAAGCTGCTATTGACAGCAGCTAGGTGACCATGAGACCCCCGCTGCAGTGCACAGGCGACGGCTGAGATGCTCTGAGATAAAAACCAGGCAGGATACAAACCTCTGTGCATCGTGAATTAGTTCTCGTCTGCTAACAAGTCCTAGTTTTCAAAAACTAAAGGCTCAGGTCATCATTTTGTTCATGCAAAGCATCATTCATGCTCTGCATGACTATAACAGCAGTGTACTTTGCAGCAAAGAGGATATCAAGTTGCTGCTTTGTGCTCTGAACCAATCACATGCAGACCAATCATCATTCAGTCTCTGATCGCTTTCCTACGTTTAATGCTGACTTGGCCATGGATCGAAGCCAAACAGCCCAACTCATCCTGATCACACCTGTGCAAAATGTGCATCAAACTAATTATTGCTGTAGTAGCCAAAGGAAACACTCAATTCAGTTTTTATTTAAATGCACCAAATTACGCCTTTATATTGTAAGGTAAAGACCCCACAACGATAACACAAACCGTGATTTGACAATAACTGAATACCTATATCGTCTAGAAAATTCAGATATTGCTTACTGACAAATATGGCTACATGAATATCTTTTTAAATCTTAATTTGTAAATAGTTTCTCTTATTCCTTTCCAAATTATGATTTAATATTATTTAAAAAGGTGCTGCTCCATCAAGTTCTCTTCTGGTTGACAAGGGTGTGTTGAGTCCCAACATAAAATGTTTAAATCATGATCTTACAACAGGATGTCTTTGTTCATACACACGGAAAATGCAAATTATCCACTTTCACTATGCAGTTGGTTGGCAAACAAACTTTTGCGTCACTCTGGCATTCCTGCACAGAGAAGTGGGGGAGGGAAGAAGGTGGGCTCTCAGCCAACAGGTACTTAAATACAGGACAGGTGAAGCTAGAGACAGTGCAAGTCCACGATCTGCCCACATTTTCTACCTGACTATTCGGGAACAGGTAAGCTAAAGAACTTGTCGCCATAGCTTTGTACCTTTTTGTGTGTGAATACTCTACTATGTGAAATAATTGCATGTCATAGCTAAAACTTTACGGAGGAATGTTCATTACAGGAAAAGAAAAAGCACAAAAGTATCTGGATTTCTGTTAAAATAGACTTCTCTATAAAAGTGTCTCTTCAGTTTCGCTTCCCTTTCTGTTACTGCAAGTTTTAACAGCTCATGTGCTGATCGAAGTGTGAATGCAGTTACTTTAGCAAACAGGCTGATGCTTCTAAAACTGGTATGCATTTCTAGCTGGTTTGTGTTTGCTGTTTCAGGAAAACTCTAAAGATGGTTAAATCAGCGCTGTCTGTGCTCTTGGTCCTGGTAGCCATTTCCTCTACCTTTGCTGCAAAATATATCCCCAAGAGTGGGAAGAGGGTCCCACAGACTCTGTCCAGAGGTATTTGAGTCATTTCATTCACGCATCAAGCCCAGTATTACTGAGGTAAAGGACGCACTTATCTCTAATGGTGTCTTTGTCTGTGCAGGATGGGGCGATCAGCTGATATGGGCTCAGACTTATGAGGAGGGTCTTTACTGGTCCAGGTCAAAGTAAGACATAGTTTCAAAATAAAAGTCCAAACTTTGACTTAACTCTAAAATTTGCTGAAGCTTATGATGGGCTGGTTGGTATTTTAGGAACAAGCCCCTGTTGGTCATCTTTCACCTTGAAGACTGCCCACACAGCCAGGGTGAGTAGCTGCTAGTGTTTCACTTATTAAGTTACTCACTGTGTTTGTTCGAGCGAGAAGTCTGTTCTGTTTGAAGACTGAGTGTGTGTTTGTTCATATGTGATGTCACCTTGGTCATCCTGGTGCTCTTCTCTACGCACCCGAGTTATAAAACTTAAAGTCAATTTTCTCCCACAGCGCTGAAGAAAGTCATCTCCGAGGATAACGAGGTCCAAAAAATCCTTGATGAGGACTTCATCGTCCTTAATCTGGTGGTAGGTTATAACACCTGACAAAATGAAGTATTTTAAAGTCTTTCAGTCTCTATTACATTTTCTTAACATTATTACATTTTGTGGTTCAGCACTGGCGCGT